TTGGAAAAGTGGGGGTCGTCTTATACATGGGGGCATCTTATAGATGGAAAAATACGGTATTTCACATTCATGGCTATATCCATTTTCCTTCCTTACTTCCCTCCTATTCTTAATTAATCCATGTATTTGTAAATTTTGGTATCACTAAATCATATTTTGCCATTGTTGATGACCGAAACCGCTGTAAAATCTATTGGCCCAGTACAACAGATTGACTTTTTAAAAAATAGAAATCAACTTTCAGTTATAAAGCCTATTAAAATTTGAGTTGCCTCAGAAAAAATTCAGACTGGAAATAATTGTGTATCCTGTGCCGGTGTTTTTTTGTGTGTGTGTGAAGAACACAACAGTTTAAGCAGAATTAAAGCAAGTATAATTGAGTGAATGACCATGGAGAGATGGAGTGAGAGGCTAGTGAAAAGCAAACAAGAACATTATGAAAGAGATTAGGAAAGGAATCCTTAGAGTTTAAAGAACCAAAGTAAGATCTGGGGCTTGATCTAGGAATCTCACAGCTTGATTGTGAAATCTGATCGTTAGGCTTTAGGATTGTGTCAACTCAAATATTTGAGCTTGGGGAAATGATACAGGTCTGCTTTGCTTAACCCAATTTTGCTTAAATTTGCTTAAATTGTAGACAGGTTGAGGTTTCTGGGGATTGGCTGGGTGTGCTTCCTGTACCCTGAGGGCTCTCACCTATGATTTTGAACTCCAAGAGTTCTGTGATGGTCATACTGGCTTTGAAACGTTGGGGACTGAAGTCCATGCATCTACAAGGCACTCAGGCCAGGGAAAGCTGAACTGTCCTTTCACCTGTCCTTTGGGACAGCATTTCCCCTGAGATTGATACGGCTTCAACCCTGCTGACCTTTAGAAAGGTGTTAAAAACCTGGCTCTACACAATGGGCCAGGGCAATTTATGTACCTATGTATTTGTGGTTTAAGTTTTTAACTTCCCATGGTGTGTTTTTATGCTTTTAATCCTCTTTGCAAGCTACCTTGAGTCGCTCGTCAGTTGGGCAGCCCTGTAAATCAAACAAATCAACAAAGAAAATGCTAAGAGTTTGCTCTCCTGGATTTGCTTGCTCAGCATTGTAGAACTTCTTGCCTACTGAATTTGCTTCCTTCCAAATTCTAGCAGCCCCAGGCTTGGTCTTATGAGTCCTTTTTTTCCAAAGATCAGCTTCTTGTTCTAACAACAATGGTTGGCCTTTACTTTAAAAATAAAAATGACTACCTGAAATGCTTTGAAGTACATTTTAACTTTGGTGTACCATTTTGTTGTGTTTACAATATTTTAATTGGCAGGTGATCTGTTGATTTTTATTAGCTGCTTTCAGGTCTCCCATTGGAGATACCTTAGTCTAAACAAGGATCAGCTTTGTTTTTCTGTTTTCATAGATGGAACACCATCAAAGTGGCTGACTGGGTGGAAAAAAGTTTATTTTTTTCCCCCCTCATTCAAGCACTAGCCAATTCTGCTTTACAGAGAACCACATCCAGCGAGGGCGGCTAGCCTCTGTGATGGTTGATGATGGAGATGGAGACGGCAGCACCATTAGCCAATCAGTTGCCATGGCCATTGCGGGCTCTCCCCTGCCTCATACCCATCGGCCTGCGGTCTTCCAAATGCCATCAGGGGTGAGCATCCAATGATCTTGAGAGATAGGAATGTAGAACACAATCCAGGCCTAACAGGGGTGGGGAATTCCTGCACATCACACTCAGGATTTGAAGCTTCACATTCTCCAGCTTTGAGGAGTTTCTCTCATGGAGATGAGACCATGTACCTCACGAATTTGTACCTTTCCCAGTGATATGAATCTAACCACATAAGGACTCTTCTTACATCCACAAGTCTCAGGAGAAAATAGGTACATCCCATCTCAGCAGCCATCTCAGTCTCAAATGTCATGCTGAATATTGTGGGACATCCCAGAATAAAAAGTTCTCAAATGCCGAGCTGTGGAGTGGCTGCTGAGATTGCATCTACTGTGCATATCTAAAGCAGTATCTTTTTTTTTTTTTATAATTTTTTTATTTTTTACAACAAACACAAACAAACAATAACATAAAAA